CAAAGAGCACACAAAAATTAAACTACTCAACTCACCAAAACACAACAACACAACTTGATGTCTGCTTTGCTTAAAATGAGAATGTTCACAACAAATACATTTCTTTAGAAGAATTACTTCAGGATAAAACTCTGGATTAAAGCAACAACTAGTTCTTTAAGAAAGTCGCCCTGGCTGCATCATTATGTTCAACAACATACAACACAAACTAAGCCACAGCTTGCTGTCTGTTTTGAATAAACAACAAGCAAGAAAAGTAAATCTTCAAAAGAAGACAATTTTTCTCAAGAAAAATCCTTTTTAGGATTAAAAATTCGAATTACTGTGAATTTACAGTGCAACAAAGCTGGTTTATTGAAGACCTCACACGGGGCACCATTTGTTGGGGTTGTATCAAGTCAACTTTGGTCATTTTCTTTAATAATTATACTTAATTATTAATAATATAAATAAAATATCATTAAACTATGTTTAATCTCGTTTTGGGGCACCAACCTGTAATCAGGTAAATATAACCAAAATATCACTCAAATCAGTCTCAAATTAGTTATTTAATTACTAATATTATTAATAATGAATAACTATATTTAATAAATTGAAGGCGTGAAATCCGTACACAAAGCCTTCGCACCCAGCTTATATCACAATGCAAATACACCAGTAACCACAAACAACTGCTCTCTTAAATTATAACAAAATTTATTTAAACAAAGCAACATCAACCCAAAATCAATGAACTTAATTAAACAAATAACTATTATAAACTAATCTAAGCAACAAACATTATCAAGCAAGGCTTGTGGATGAGGTGTAAATGTGTGTGTGTGCAGATGAGTGTGTATGTAGATGTGTGAGAGAGAGAGAGAGAGATAGAGAGACAATGCACCCTGTGGCTTCGTCACATGGTGACAAAAATGGTGGACAACAAAGGAAGCCGTGTGGCTACCTTTTGAAATAGTTTCAAAAGAATAGTTTCAGTAACTGTTACTTAAACACCAGAAAGCCAGTGGCCGGACTTTGACTCAACGGCGGGTACACTGGTCTTTCTGATTGTGAAAGCCGTTGACTGAAGGTAAACTAGCATAGCATGACATACATAGGCGAACACAGCAGTTCATTACAATAAAACAAATGCAGTAGCTTACAACAGATAATATACAGAATGTGACATGTCGTCAACAATGATGCATAATTATCAGTGATTATAAAAGAAACCTTCCTAAACTACTCTGTGCCCAGACCAAAGCTCTTACTTGGGGTAACTCCTGGTGATCGTTGCAAGGTTGGTTAGATCGTCACTCTGTTGAATGTTAAATCAACAGATTCAGGCAGGTTTCCTTCGTGGCAGATGTAGGAGGAGGGTAGCGGGATTCAGATCTTCGACCAGAGCGCTGCTCTATAGGGTCTTCTGGTTGCAGGAGCTGAGTTCTTTATGTGTCCCTGTGGATTCAGGGATCAGTGGGCTTCCTTCAGCGCTCCTGTCCAGTTGCGTTCAATGATGTCTTACGAAAAATCAAAGGAAAGAAACTCTTCTTTTTGCTCGAACCTGATAGCATCTGATTGCGCCCAAAACTCCTTAAAATATGCAGTGGAAGTAGTCAGCTGAATCCTCTGATGCTTGAATTCAGCATGTGAAGAGCTACCTATACTGAGCAACCTCAGCTCTGGAGTTAAACCTATGTAAGTCAAGAGGAGGAAAGGCTTTGTCTCGAATGATGGAGTCCATCTTGTTGGAGAGGGTATCCTCTGGTGTCAACAGACAACACTTGTAGAGAAGGAAAGGGTTTGTCTCGAATGTCTGAGTCCATCATATGGAGAGGGTATCCTCTGGTGTCAACAGACAACACTTGAAGAGAAGAAAAGGCTTTGTCTCAAATGATGGAGTCCATCTTGTTGGAGAGGGTATCCTCTGGTGTCGGCAGACCACACTTGAAGAGAAGGAAGCAATGCCTGGTGATTGCTTTTAAAGACTGGAGCTGCCTGTGGGTTTACCTCAGGCCTCCTCCAATGAGGATAGAGAATTCAGACACCCGCCCACTTTTCACACCTATTCGTTGGTTTCTGTTGGGGGGTTGCTGGGCTAAGACCCCTTTGTTCAGTTCCCTCCAAAATACTCTAGTCAGGCTTGAGAACTGTGATACAGGCTTGAGTCTCTTGTCCCATGCACATGGCTGAGGCCCAACAGTGCCAAACATCATTCAGTGCTGAATATAAACTGTAAGTTTGATTGACTCTCAGTTAGGCCTGGGCGATGAAACGATAACGATAATTATCGCGATATAATTTGTCAATATAAATATAAAAAATGTTTGATAAAAGGTTAATAGATGTAAACCTATATTTACACCATCCAACCACAGGGAAACAGGGGCGCTAATGCGCCTTGGACGCTAGTTGCCACCCGACATTAAAGAGAAGAAGAAAAAGACTACGTACAGCCAATCATGTCGCAGGGATATGGGTAGACAGGCTCAGCGCCGGGCAGGCTTACAGACCTCAGGAGGGGAAAGGAAACAGCTGAAATTAGTGAGAGCTACTCTGAAGAAAACGCTGAACCTACCGGCTCAAAGCAGGAGAGAATATCCTCGACAAGACAACAAGAAAGGCCGCTTAACGTCCGGAGTTTAGACACATTTTGGCTCTTTACAGTCCGACAAAAAACAGAGTAAAGTTCTCTGTCAGCTGTGCCGAAGAAAAGTGCAGCTAAAACGACGACACCACGAACCTGTTCCCCCATTGGAAACAATATGATCCATTAAAACACACAGAAGGAAATAAATGTCCAAATGTCATAAACGAGTGTTAGTGTGGAGCGTATTGTAGATAATATAAACTGTCTATGCATGGTGTGGACCCCAGCGGGCCAGTGAGTGTGACTCCACAGCAACAAACTATCATATCAGTGTTTCAGCTCCGTGCTCTGAGCTTATGATGCTGAAATGTTTCTGTTTCATTATAATTCTTCATGTTCTGATAATAAAGTATAATTAAACCATAATTAACCATCTGGTTTCTTCAACTTTCACTCAGGAACAAAAATCAGCTTTTAAATTTGAAAGAAATAATTATTGACAATTATCGTGATAATTATCGATATCGACTGATATGACTTTTTTTTTTTTTTCGCCCAGGCCTACTCTCAGTAAGTGTCAGTAAAGTTGTTGATGAATGAACAGATGATAACCTGCAGCTGTGTTGTGTCTCGTTCTCTCCATCAGACGCCTGTGAGCTGGAACTGGACACAAACACAGTGAGCAGAGAACTGAAACTGTCTGACAACAACAGGAAGGTGACACATGTGGAGAAGCTTGAGTCATATCCTTATCATCCAGACAGATTTGAAAACTGGCGTCAGCTGCTGTGTAGGACTGGTCTGACTGGTCGCTGTTACTGGGAGGTCAAGTGGAGAGGAGAGGTTTATGTATCAGTGAGTTACAGAGGAATCAGAAGGAGAGGAAACAGTGATGGATGTGTGTTTGGATGTAATGATCAGTCCTGGAGTCTGAGTTGCTCTGATAGAGGTTACTCTGTCTGGCACAATGACAGAAGAACAAAGATCTCCTCCTCCTCCTCCTCCTCCTCTTCCTCCTCCTCTGTCTCTAACAGAGTAGCAGTGTATGTGGACCGTCCTGCTGGCTCTCTGTCCTTCTACAGAGTCTCCTCTGACACACTGATCCACCTCCACACCTTCAACACCACATTCACTGAACCTCTCTATCCTGGATTTAGGATCTGGTTACCAGGTTCTTCAGTGTCTCTGTGTCAGTCTGAGAAACTCTGCTGACTGAAGATCAGCTGACTCTGTTCTCTCTGTTTCAAACTAATGAATTATTCTGATTTCATCACTTAGAATGTAAATGTTTTATCACTCTTACCTGCAATCCACGCCTCGGAATGCCCCAGGAGGAGAGATGTAGTCTGGGTTGGTGCTGCCGGGGATTAACATGCCCAGGAATCCAGCTGGGCTTGTATTTAATTCTTGAGGGAGTGTTGGGGGTTGATGGTTGGAGCCAAGGAGAACCACTTCTTGAGGGATTGAAAGAGCCTCTTCGGCTTCAATATTCCATGCATAGGTTGTTCCTGGGCAAATAAGAGCTGCAGCAGAACTATAGTTCCTAATAAAATGTCAATAGAAGTTAGCAAACCCTGGGACTCTTTTCTCCGCCTTGACAAATTGTTGATTCTCCAGCAACCATTGTAATACGTGCTCTTCCCCTGGCTGGACAAGATCAAAATTCATCAAGGTAGTCAAAAACAACCTTGTTCAACATGTCTTTTAGAACAGTGGTTCTCAACTCATGGGTCGGGACCCAAAAGTGGGTCGCTTAGCCGTTTTCAGAGGGTCGCGAAGGTGTGCCTGGGGAAAAAAGTGTCAAAAAATCTATGAAGCACTTTTAAAACATGTTTGTTTTGTTTTCCTCTCTTTGTTCTGTCTCATGTTTTGAACTGTCTGAGGTCCAAACTGCACCTTTTTTTATAAACAGATCTAAATGGTTGAAAAATGTCAGAAGTTTGGGTGGGACTTTCTCATTAAGGAGTTGGTGATGAGTCCTGAGGCTAAACCAGTTGAGAACCAGTACTTCAGAATATCATTCTCCAGGGCCTGGAAAAAAAACTGCTGGGGAATTAGTGAAATGGCATGACCTGATATTCTTAGTGGCCACGAGGTGTGTTCAAGGTGGTTTTCCATTCATCCCATTCAGCCTCAGGACCCACCACCAACTCCTTAAAGAGAAATTGCGATCCAAATTTTAATTTATTTTGTACAAACCAAATTTATTTAAAGAGCCCATATTATGCCCTTTTTGGGGTTCATATATTTAATCTATGTATCTACTAAAGTATGTTCACAATAGATAAAGTTCTAACAAAGTGTCTGTTTTCATGACCTGCCGCTCCATGCACCGGCTCTCTTCTGACTCTCTCTCTAAGGCTCTGCAGTGCCCACGTTCAGAGTCCCCACGTGTGCCCAGTCTGATCTGATTGGTCGGCCTGTGGGCTCTGTCGTGATTGGTCAGTCGCTCAGTATGGTTCTCGGAAATGTCCCGCCCCTTTTACCATATTGGGAATGCAGCTACTGGCTCCGAGGGGGAGCAAAAACACCGGTATGCAAACGGCAATGGCAACTTCACCAATCTGACAGAGAGGAGGAACAAACACAACAACCTTTGCCACGAAGGCATGAGCACGACGTTTCAGTGTTGGAGGTATTTATTTTGCAGCATATGTTAGCCTCTTCCAATTTCACTGACTGGAGCTACCAGCATATTTCCCAAATCCAAAAATATATATCTTACTTGTGGCTTCACAAAGTTTGGCTTTATTACAATATGATTATTGACCACAAATGTGTTCTGTACAATACATTTTATTGTATTTACATTAGTACTGTATGTTGTTTATTGCAGCAACTCACCTTGTTCTGCATTGTATATCACCTCCTTGATGTGATTAAAAATTAAATGAGCAATTGTAAGTATCAATGACATCATAGACTTACTTTGACTACAAAAGCCCAGGTGATAATCACGTGTTTGTTGGATCAATATCTCATGCAATAATGTTTCCTCCTTTGTCATTATTTTCCTTCTTATTGAACATTATTTCATTTTAATCAGTATCTTCTTCTTTCATCAGGAGAATGAATCCACTGCCTGTTCCTTGTACCACAAACGTCCAGGACTGTTTAAACCCATATACACTTCAAAACATCCACAACATCTTCAGAGGAGAACATCAAGGAGAACTGCAGAAGAGTATGTTCATTAGAAATAATGATTTACATCTTCAATCAAATTCATTCTAATCAAACAGTTTCACTATTTCAGAGGAATAAAAGTAAACAAGTGAGAAAATCATTTGTTGAAAGTTCTTTATTCTCAGCTAAGGTTAAAAAACATTTAAATGTGTAGAACTATACGTGTAAATATACAATGAGAAGTAACATTTTTACATCCATCTATATTGTCTCATACAGGCTGTGCAGACACTTGGCAGTGGTTGGAGTGGTTATCCTGTCGTGTGTCGTCCTGAGGATTCACCCCGAGTTTCCTGACCCGACTGGACAGTATGTTGGCTTCCGCCCGCCCCTTGACTACACCTGGACACGTGTCGAGCCACCCCTCCTTCTTTTTGAGAGTCAGGTATTTTCTGCAGCTCCTCCATGAATGGTTCTGGTTCCTGAAACACCTCCTCCAACACCAGTGCCATCAAGTCCCCGACATATCCTGTAAAAAAGTAATTCAAGAACAAAAATCTATTTCATAATGTTTGGTTATTGCTCATTTTTCACACTCATCTGAAAAATGAGCTCAGCTAACAATGCTATACCTGTTACCGCTTTAGATGAAAGTTGATAAATAGTTTAGTACTGCTCTAATTTAGAAAAATAGCATTACTTAGCATGTTAGCCGAGGCTTACAGTTCAGTTACAGACAGACTCCACAGAACTAATGTATCCAGCAGCTCAAAAGTTGTTTTCAAACAAATAAAAAAGACAATTAATGAAGCGTACTTACATGTTGTGGTTGTGAACTTCCAGAAGCATCATAATCTCCACAGAGAGAAGGAGCTGAAACTTCTTTCCAAGTCCGTCTTTTGCTCAAGCTAACGTGCATTAGCACCTTAGCACTACTGTGCTACCGCAGGCTGCAGCATATCGTGGGCGTGCTACAGAAGTTAATGAGCGTGCAACATGAGTTGCTGGAATTGCCACAACGAGCCAATGGGCTTCGATCAGTGATCTCACACTGACAAGACGTCACACTGACAAATTTTTATATACTGAAGAGCATATAAAACCAGAAAAAGCATAATATGACCCCTTTAAACCAGCCGGTTGATGTCTCCATAGCAACTCCCGCCGTTCACGCAGCTGATGATGTCTCCATAGCAACTCCCGCCGTTCACGCAGCTGATGATGTCTCCATAGCAACTCCCGCCGTTCACGCAGCTGATGATGTCTCCATAGCAACTCCCGCCGTTCACGCAGCTGATGATGTCTCCATAGCAACTCCCGCCATTCACACAGCTGTCTGTACCTTTGATATGATTTTTGACACATTCCCTCACAGGAAAAGCACAGAGGTAAGTTTCTGGGTAAAATAACAAATAAAGACGTCCAGGAATAACTAAAGCAATACTTTAAAGGTCCCATATTATACTTTTTCTGGTTTTATATGCCCTTCAGTGTGTTTTCCAAGTGTCCTGTGCATGTTTAGGCACATCTATTTGCAGAAATTCAAAGTCCGCGTAAATGAGGCTTCTCCTACGTCCTCCTGTTGGCTATAGCTGTTCTGGCAGGCCGTCAACCAACGATCTTGAGGAGCTTAAGAGAGCTCAAGAGCTCCCAGGAAAGTAGGTGTTAAGTGACTGAAATTTACAGATAGATACATGCAGTAATATGATGTACTGTATGTGCACAGAGCGAGAGAGAGAGAGAGAGAGAGGAGCTCAAGGTGCCAGTTCCCTCGGTAGTCTGAGCCTATAGCAGCATAACTAAGAGCTGGTCTACACCAGCACCAGCCATAATTGAGATTTATCAAAAAGGAAAGTTTTAAGTCTATTCTTAAAAATACAGACTGTGTCTGCCTCCCGGACCCCGGCTGGAAGATGATTCCAGAGGAGAGGAGCCCGATAACTGAAGGCTTTACCTCCCATAGTACACTTAGAGACTGTAGGTACCAGTAGTAGGCCTGCATTCTGGGACCGTAATGTTCTTGAGGGGCCGTACGGCCCTAGCAGCTCCTTAAGATAAGATGGTGCCTGGCCATTTAGAGCTTTGTAAGTGAGAAGAAGGATCTTGAACTCTATTCTAGACTGTATAGGGAGCCAGAGCAGAGAAGCCAACACAGGAGTAATGTGGTCTCTTTTCCTAGTTCTAGTCGAGCTGCAGCGTTCTGGACTAGTTGAAGAGTCTTTAGAGACTTACCAGAGCACCCTGACAAAAGAGTTACAATAATCCAATCTGGAGGTAACAAATGCATGAACTAGTTTTTCTGCATCATTTTCCGACAGGATATTCCTGATCTTGGATATATTACGAAGGTGAAAATAGGCTGTTCTTGAAATTTGCCTGACGTGAGAGGTAAAGGACATATCTTGATCAAATAAAACTCCTAGATTCCTAACAGTGGTGCTAGATGTCAGGCTGATGTCATTAAGGACAGTCACATCATTAGAAAAAGTCTCTCTGAGGTTTTTAGGGCCTAGCACAATAACAAGGCACGTTTCTAGCTGACATAACTGACTGGTGCCATCGGGCTTCATTGATACATAAAGCTGAGTATCATCTGCATAACAATAAAACTGTATGTAGTGTTTCCTCATAATATTTCCCAGAGGAAATATTATTATTATACTAAGGTGCTAATGTTTATGCTCTCCTCGGAGCCAAAGTGGCTGAGCGACTGACCTATCACAGCATCAGAGCCAACAGGCCGACCAATCAGATCAGACTTCGCACATGTGGGGACTCTGAACGTGGGCACTTCAGAGCCTTAGAGAGAGAGTCAGAAGCGAGCCGGTGCATGGAGCGGCAGTTCATGAAAACAGACACTTTTTTTTAGAACTTTAGCTATTGTGAACATACTTTAGCAAGTACATAGATTAAATATACCAACCCCAAAAAGGGCATAATATGGGCTCTTTAAAACTAAAGCTTTGACTTTGGCAGAAAATACATCAATATGTTGACCAGGCCAGGCCCAGGATTAATCAGCAGCCAGCTCCACCAGGCCAGGCCAAGGCACTCTTTGGTTAGCTTGCACTTGGACAAAGCCGGCTGGCAACAAGCCAGAGTCACCATGCCACCGAAAAAACCACCGGCGATGGAGGAAGTCGACGACATTAAGAAGTCGCTGGACTTTCTCTCGGGGGAGATTACCGCTGTCAGGCTGCAGCAGAAATCCATCCTGGACCTGGTGGCCGAGGTTAAGGCGCTGAGGCTGGAGGAGAAGGTCGTGTTCCTGGAGAGCAGAGTGGCCGACCTGGAGCAATACACCAGAATGAATGATATTATTATATCGGGGCTCAAAATAAATCCCCGGTCGTATGCACGGGCAGTGACTGCTGACCGTGACGGCGAACCAGAGGCAGTCTCCGAGTCCTCGGAGCAACAAGTGGCAGCATTCCTACAGTCAAAGGGAATCGACTTTGACTGTAACACCATCGAGGCTTGTCATCCTCTGCCCCGCATAAACAACACCAACAAACCGGCCATAATAATGAGCTTTGCGAACCGTAAACACAAAATTGCACTACTGAAACAAGGCAGGCAGCTGAAGGGGACAGACGTCTACATCAATGAACACTTAACAAAACGAAATGCAGATATAGCCAGGCAAGCACGATTCATCAAGAAACAAAATAAAATACAATCCACGTGGACCACCAACTGCAAAATCTTCCTAAAGCTGAACGGAACACCGGAGGAGGCCAAAGTGATGGTGATCAGAGACATTGCGGAGCTGGACAAGTTCCAATGAGGCCGAACTGGAAACACAAGTGAGTAAAAAACCTATACAATCGTGACACACTCTAAAGGAAATCATTCATCTACATCTGGAGACATTATACCTATAACCCAAATGATTGCTGATAATGAGAATCTGGAACTGAAAACATTGGAATACACGGAGCACAATTTACAAGACATGGAATACAATATCGACCCGGAAAATAACTTCTTCTTAAACATCAATGACGACTGCGGCTATTACACAGATGAACAGTACAATAAGACCATTAAGGCAGATCAGAAACTATCAATCATTCATTTTAACAGTAGAAGTCTGTATGCAAATTTCCACAACATTAAGGAATATTTACGTCAATTTGCACAACCATTTAACATAATTGCAATATCAGAAACTTGGATCAACCCTGAAAAGGGTGTGGACTTTGAATTATATGGCTATGAACTTAACTACAAGAACAGAGAGAACAAGACTGGAGGAGGTGTGGCTGTGTATGTGGACAAAAACCTTGATTGCAAGGTGGTAGATGGAATGACAACTGCAATCGGAAATTTATTAGAATGTTTAACTGTTGAAATCTGCATGGAAAAAAGAAGAACGTAATTGTTAGCTGTATTTATAGAGCACCGGGTTCCAATATTGATATATTCAAAGAATGGGTGGAAGAAATGTTCACAATATCTAATCAAAAGGTCATGTTCATCTGTGGGGATTTTAATATAGATCTGCTTAATCCCAATAACCACAAACCAACTGAAGACTTTATCAATACAATGTACAGTCTAAGCCTCTATCCAAAAATCACCAGACCCAGCAGGATTACATCTCACTGTGCCACATTGATTGACAACATATTTACAAACATTATAGACAATAATACAATAAGTGGATTAATGATCAATGACATCAGTGACCATCTGCCAGTGTTTATAGTTTTCAATAACGACTACAAGAGGGAAAAACAGGAGAGTACAGTCAAGTACAGAAGAGTACGGACAGAAGAGTCAATGAACGCTTTAAAAAATGAATTAATAAATCAAAATTGGGAAATATTATATAAAGAAGAAAACATTGACAGAGCTTATGAAAAATTCTTAGGGGTATTTAAGTTGTTGTATGATAAACATTGTCCAATAAAATAAATCAAAATGTAATTTAAATGTTCAGATAGTCCATGGATAACTAAGGGATTACAAAATGCCTGCAAAAATAAAAATACACTATATAAAGAACTCATAAAACTTAGAACCAAAGATGCAGAAAATAAATATAAGAAATATAAAAATAAGATAACTAATATTATGAGAAATTGTAGGAAAGAATATTACAGCAAATTATTAGATAAAAATAAAAACAATAGTAAAGGTTTATGGACTATATTAAATAGTGTTATTGGAAATGGTTCTAGACAAGTTAAATATCACATGACTTTATTGATAATGATATGACTATTGATAATATGGATGATGCAGTTAATGGCTTCAATAATTATTTTGTAAATGTTGGACCAATACTGGCTGAAAAAATCCCTGTTTCTGTGAGATCTGACGACAAGAATTATGATTTCATAGACATTAATCCAAAATCAATGTTTCTAACAGCAGTGGAAGAGAGTGAAATTATAGAGATTGTTCATAAATGTAAAAACAAAACTTCTACTGACTATAATGACATTGACATGAGAATAGTTAAACAGGTCATTCAGGGAATTGCAAAACCACTAACGCACATCTGTAACTTATCATTTAAAACTGGTAAATTCCCAAGAAAAATGAAAATTGCAAAAGTCGTACTGCTGTACAAAACTGGAGACAAACACACTTCACAAACTACAGGCCTGTTTCACTGCTTCCTCAATTTTCAAAAATCTTAAAAAACTCTTTGCTGACAGACTAAACAAATTTATCAATAAACACAACTTACTAACTGACAGCCAATATGGATTCAGACCCAACAGATCCACTTCATTAGCAGTCATTGAGCTAATTGAAAAAATCACAAATTCCCTGGACCAAAAGAATTATGCAGCTGGTGTTT